TATCTTTTAGAAACTTGGTGTAATTAGGCATATGCTCTAAAACATCTATCAGTGATGTTTATATGCAACTGTTTCAATATTTCAAAGAATTTTTTAAAGTGACTATCATAATTCTTTTTAACTAACTTTGGAGGAAAATATGGAGGAATTTTAAACTTACCTACCTACGAAGTAGTGCCAGACGCTACTTCCTTACCTTTGTCGGTTTTCTTACCTTTCTCATATGAACTTACTGGTTCAGCTTGCTCTTCTGACTGTGGTGCAGGTATGGATGCAAGTATAGGTGTAGATGCATTGGTTTCTTCATCTAGAAATGTGGGCCTGTCATAGGTTAATCCTCTTCTTATTGTGACTGTCTTATATTACTTCATCATGATTTCAGTTCGTTTGCCAACTGCCCCACTTGCATCTCTAGATTTCTCATGGCAATGTCATTTCTTGTCATGTACTCTTTCATTAAGGCTTCCAAACTTCTATTGTTACCACCTTGCTGATTATTATTCTGCGCTTTCTGTTGGTTGTATTGTTGTGGTGGTGACGTAGGTTAGGTAGGAAATCCAGGAGGAGTGTAATTTTGCTTAAATTGTTGAGCAGCTACTTGTGCACTGCTACTAGCTCCTCCTTGATTACTCCAAAAGAAATTCTGATGGTGCCTCCAACCAGGATTGTAGGTGTTCGAATATGGATTGAAATTCCACAGGCCACATTGACCCACATAATAAACGGACGCTGGATTAGCTAGACAATTCTCATATAAGTGGTTATCATCACTGTTCCTACCTGTTAAACGCAATAGTCACAATAGATCTTCTAGAACACTCCAAGATAATACCTGCAAAAGAGGAGTTAGCACTCCGAAGCTTTTGTAAGTTATGATCAAATTGTAAGAAAAATGTTGTCTAAGAAAAATCTTCGTCCCTTTCACCTCTTTTTGGAATCCTTATCTAGACAATAATATGACCGTTACCTTTGTGTAGGAGCAATTTCCTTTCAAATTCAAATGAACGATTTACCCTCCCCTAATTATAGGAAGCCGTACGCACGAGTTGGTTACTCTCCCAGCGGATTTTGAGCAACCCTTCTTACTGAGCTGGTCGTGTGCCAAGTTCGGTACTTGTCCAAGCTCGTAGTAGTGTGACATATTAATGATGTGTGATTAAAGGAAGAAATTGCATCCAACAACCACAATAAACATAAGATATATAAGAAATTTGCAAAACAGGAGAGGTTTCAGAAATGGTCGATGAAGTAGCGGCAAGCGCTTTATTGGCTTTCTCTACTATCAATGCTTTCAACATTTGTTCATGGCTGCCATATGTGCTTGCATAGAATTTGCAGTGTCTAACTCTAATTCCTGCTGATGCTTGCTTCTTTGGGAATGCCCGTCTCGATTCTCCTTGATCATTAATCTCCATCATCTTGTTCAGAATAGTTACTGTTGATGCAAAAGTTTGGCCTTTTGGGTTCCATCAAATTCGCACAAATCTTCTAGAATAAAGGGATCGATGAGACCTGCAGAACAGAATAGCACTAAAGGCCAGACCTACAAAATAGAATAGCATTAAAGACTGGTGTGTCTCTTGCCACACAGGCTCCCATGCTTAAGTCAGAAGAATCAGAGTAGTTGTGTATAAAGTGTAGAGTGTTGTGAACATACCTTTAGGGTTTGGCTTACTTCCTAATTTATAGAAGTTGAATCCTGATCCTCTAAGGATTGTAGAATTCGAATCCCGATACACCTAGGAAATCTAATTATCTGAATCTGGGGAGAATCTTGAGGCAATCAGGATATCTTCTTCTTTTGAATATAGGATATCTTCTCCTGAATCATAACGTCATCAAGATATATCTTCCCTTTTGAATTCCTTAAATAAGGGGAATTCGAATTGTAGAAAATAGGGATTTTCTCATCCATAACAGTTACGATCTCATTGACTAACTTCTCTAACTCGGTGAACTGTTGGCTACCGTATTCAACATCATTCTAGATGGCAATCCAATCCTTCTATTTGTACACAAGTGGGCAATCTGTGGCTCGGGCATCTTATAACCATTTCTTTGAATCGTTCCCAATCTTCTTGCACTGCCTCATTCTCCTTTTGTCGGAATGACAAAATGTCTTCTCGAAGATCTGTGTTCCTTGTCAATGTGTGGTACTTTGTTAGAAATTTCTACGTTAGTTCCGCCCAAATGGTGATTGAATCTGGTTTTAGCGCATTCAGCCATGTCCTCATGTTATCCCTGAGAGCGAAAGGAAACAATGTAAGTCTTAATGCATCTTTCAGAAACACCAAAGATTTGAAATGTGTTGACAGTTTCAATAAAACATTTAAGATGGGAATAGGAGTCTCCATTATTTAATCCCTCAAATTGTCCCATTGTCTGTAGCATTTGGAAAATGACCGGCTTAAGCTCGAACTGTGTGGCTTGGGGTAGTGGATTACTTATCCATGAATTCATATTGTTGAACGCATGAGTGACATATTTCCGCATGGCCACATCTTCGTTATTAGCTAATAGGATCAGATTAGGAACTTCTCCGACATAGTTTGCTCCTTGGCCTTCCATGTATCCATTTATAGGTGGATCTTATGGATTCTTGTCCATTTCAATGTTCTCTTTTTTATTTCCTCCTTTTCTTCTTAGCTTCTGCCCACGTCTTATCCTTCTAAGGTTTCTTTCCATTTCTGGATCAAACTTCTACAAGCCCAATCCTGTGCTCATCCACAAAAACTCAATCCTTCAAGGTTAGATATAACAATTAAATTTCAAAGAACAGAGGTATGCAACAATCACAATATGAAATGTTTCACTGAAAAATAAAATAATTTTGAAAATAAATCCCCAACAACGGCGCAAAAAACTTGTTCGGGATATTATCTACCTCAAAAGATAAGAGACACGTGCAAACATACACGGTCGCAAGTAATACAAGAAAGTAATTGCAAGGTCGAATCCTCAGGGACTTTTGCTTCAAAATGAATTTAATGAAATGAAACGTTTCAATATGCAGTTGGGTTTCATGAGAGAAAATGGGTGATAAAGTTGGGATTTTGGTTTGCAAATATCAAAGCTTCTTTATAAAACACAGCCTCTTTGCTTCCTGTCTCAATTTTGAGAGAAAACGCACACTAGATGAAAAAGCACTAGGTGTTACTCGACACTTTCTAGAAATCTGAGTTCTTCTCTTTCATGAACCGCTTTTGGTTGTTTCGGATCCTAGAGTAACCTACTATCATATGTTTATGTGTAGTTACAATCCTAGAATGTAATTATCAACTCATTTGCTTTTATGGGTTAGAGAGCCTATGTTTAGCAACATGATTTATGCGCTTATGTCTAAGTTACATCTCATATCAGTTTCCTATTATTTTACATAACCTAACCTTCTCCATATTAGGCTTCAGTGTATAGATCAATTTCCCAGTGGCTAACCTAAGAAAGGACTTAAGGAAAAGTTTTTAGAAACCAACCTAGAAATACGTTAGGCGCATACTGGGCGTTTTTCCAATTGTGTTAAGGTTTGGAACCCCCCAACCCAGACCAGGATGCGCCTTTCTCCCTAAGCCTAGAAGCAAGTCAAGCAAGCCGGTCGAGGGGGGGTCCGTATCTCCCCAAATCACTGATTCAAAGCTTGAAAGCGATTTAGCTTAACACATGCAAGTCGAGCTGTCGACGGATGCTCCTATTACACTCGTAGTCTCTGAAGGATGAGAACCCACTATGTAGCATCTACATCGCCCACGGTGGAGCACTCTTATTTGTCCAATTCTGTCTTACTGCTCTTCAAATTAAAGAATTTTTGCTAGCATTCCACGTAAAGATTGAAAACTAAATTAGTGCATAATTAAAGGAATAAAAACGCTCGAAGAAATAAGAGAAACAATTTCCATTGAATTAATTTAAAGAATAACTAAATACAATGAATTTTAGCGTAACCTTCTTCTATTTTGAGCTTGAAGGGAGTTTAAAACTCGCTAAAGAACATTAATGGATTGAAATAAATGAAGAACAAATGAAACGAACTTGAATTTAAGCAAGAAAATGAAACAATGATTTATTAACGATAAAGTTTCGAAAATAATAAAATAACAACAATAGAAAAGAACAACAAAATTAAACTATCATCGGAAGTGAAATGGATGCTAATTGATTGTTGAATAGTCGAGGGTGTTTCCCTTTATATAGGGCGAAATGGTTGAGATTTTGCCAACTGGACGAATTTAACTTGGATTGGGCTGAATTTGTTAAACCTGTCCACATGTGAGATGACTTCCATGCCCCTCATAATCAAAACGTGGGTTTTGTTAGTACTGCGAGAATGCGCCAGTCATAGTTCCTATAGGGTAAAAATTTGTGAGTTTTTGTCAAGTTTGACCACATTTTATCTCAATTTATCTCCAAACACCTTACATTGTAATTTACTCAGAAGTATTCTCGTTTTACCATATTTTAAAAATATGTACACACTTTTCATAAAATATGTTGGAAAAAGGATCGTTTTCTTAGTCAAACATGTCCCGACAGTAAGCTTTTTGCATTAAAAACTCAAACTTATGAATAGCTCATTAAGACACTTATCTACGACTTAAAAGTTTTGAGTTCAAATCCCCACCCCGGAATGTTTTAGTAAAAAAGAAATTATTTTTTATTTTTTAATGTTTAATAAATTCATATAATAAAAAATATTTACTATTAATAAAATAAATTAAAATTTATTATTATTCTAATTTAAAATAATCTTAGTTCTAAAATGTATTATTATTCTAATTTAAAATAATATTAGCTCTATTTTTTTTACAATTAGCAGACACTTTTTAGTAAACAATGATTCTATTTTTAGCAAACAATAAATAATATTCTCCATGTAGAAAAAGAATAATAATAATAATATTCTCCTTTTGAGTTGATTTTTATTTCAATTTATATATATATTTTTTTTCACAAAGGTTTCCTTATATTTCGACCTCTGGAAAATGCACCGGTTGTAATTTAACAAAATCTTCAGAAATCCTATTTTAAAGTCCGTTAATTTTTGTCATTTTCCTCAGTCCCATCGTTGTGGCCGCCTCCCTCGATAATTTCGCCCCAAAAATTCCTCTTTATTTCGCCGTCTGAGAAATTAAGCGGCGAAGCATATGCAACCATGATTTCCATACTCGCTCAGGTAAAAATGCAACCCTTACTTCGATGAATTTTCGGCGGAGGTGATTCGATTTCTTTCCCGTTGAATTGATCTCATTTTCTTTCCCTTTTTTTGGTGGAAATCTGGATTTCATTGCAGGAGCGACTGCTTGGTGCTGCATTGGGGAGCGTATTCGCCGGGGTTGTCGTTTTTGAGCAACGGAAAAGCTTATATAGGTCCATTTCGGAAAATTATCCGCCCGCCAACCAATCTCCGGTATGCATAAATTTCCCTTTCTGTAACCTTAATAATCAATTTTTTATTGCTGATGTTTGGATGTTTGGGAATAAGGGGATAATGTAATGAAATTATCCAATGTGTACAGTGAGGAATGATGTTATTTCTAAGGAATTGTTGAGATTATGTTTAATCTAAACTTTGTTATTGGCCCAAGTTTTTTTTACCAACGATGGAAAATTCCTTAATGCAAGTACTTTTTCTCTGAATTTGTAATTCCATATAGCAGCTTATCCATGAATCTAATAGCATCCTATTTGAAAATAATTTAGATGAGAAAACCTGTAGTAGCAAAGAAATATGGTCCAGAGGTTTCGCACCTATGGAATAGAGCTGTTGACCAGACATTTGGACCCATGATTCAGGCTCTCAGTTCGCGGGGATGGTGATATGTTGAGAATGATTTCTTCATCAACGTATTTAAACATCAATTCATGAAATATGTAAGGAAACGAAATTATAAATTTTGTATTTTTCGCATTCTGGATTACTAAAGGATTGATGTTATGAATGGAACAAAGCCATGACTATAAAGGTTTACAAAACAATAAAACCTTCTTTTTTCCCGGAAATGTTACTCTTTATCATTTATTTGAGAAGTCGTGTTGTTTAAATTATCAACTGTTAGCTCTGAAGCCATCCTTTAGTTGTCTACTCTCCCTCTCCCTCACCCCTATCTAGCATTGCATTTCCTTGAAACCTGTGTTTCAATATGAAATATCTGCATGAGTAATTGTTCAATTTGTTGCATATTTACATGTTGCACGAAGAGTGAAGAATTCACACCCAATATGAAAGGTATACCTTATTGCTATGTGAGATGATATTGTATTTTTTTTATGCTTGCTATAATCTGTTTTGTTTGTCATCAAGATCTGTCAATCTAGGAATGTATGCATATGTTTGAACCTTCTTTATATTGGAGTGTAAACTTGATCTGTCATAAATTACGCAGTGGAGTACATAGTGTCACGACTTAGATTTTTCAGCATATTTTTGGACTAACTAGTTTAAAACTTAAAATCTTATAATTTTAGATTACTAAAAATCTTTTGAACAGATATGATAACTTTTTTAACATATGGAGGCTTTCTACCATAACTGAGCTGATAACGACCAGGTTAAGCAACTCAAAAGTATTCCCTCACATAACTTAGATTTGTTCATAACTTTGACTATGGACTAACTAATAGCTATTAACAGCAAAATGTAGCGTTCATGGGCTATCATGCTAAATAAACTGGAACATCTAAACATAAGACCCAATTGTAAATTAAAAAAAAAAAATCAAACAGTGTAGTTGTCTTAACCCAGTTATTCATCACTATTCACTTGCATAAAATAATATTGTTGGCAGATCAGTAGTAAAATACTTGGTAGGATGGTAGGAGCTCCTCAAATAAGGACACATGAGAATGCACTCATTTATACTTTGTGTTGTTAGATATGCTCATGAATTGTTGACTAATTACTACTGTATAATAACATATAAAGGAGATGATTAACTAGCAGCTATGGTTCTAGTTTTTTGCAATGATGAAACACAGGTGTACATATAAGTATCTACGGGTTACCAATTTCTACACTTACAAAAATCTAATTCCTGAACGTTTTTCTCACACTAGAGTTTTCAAATATGATATCATAGCTGCTAGTAACTAGTATTTTTAAGGTTGGGGTTTTGGGATTTTACCTTGTACCATTTTTACTAGCCAATAAAGTTGATTGTTCCGACTTAAATGTTGTTTACTAATAGTCTGACTGATTGACCAGGCTATCTAAGATCATGTCATACACTGTGTATGTATGTAGGCTATCCATGCTAATGATACAACATATTGATAAAGAACCCTAGTGTAATTGATTATTAGAACCCTTAATAGAATTAGAATCTTTATAAAACAAAACATCAAAACCCAAAATTCAAGTTGTATCAACCCAAGGAATGGCCGGAACGAATTACCTTGATGATCAATATCAAGAGTAGAGAAAACTTGTTCCTAAACTCAAAGATTTGAACCACTTCACAAGATATCTTGATCAAGGCTACTTGAATGTTCCTAGCATGCAAATCTAACATTCAAGAATTGCAAAGAATAACAAGCTCTAGGCTTATGAAGCAAAATACAACTTTCACTCAGTAACAAAATTCTGAATTTTCAAGTGAACAAGCTAGGCTTTTTATAGCCTCCAAAACAACCCTAAAAGTAGTCTAAAGGCATTTGAAAGGTTGTAACTCCCAATTACATGATGGCCATAACACCCACTAGCTAAAATGTAACTTAAAACAGTTAAATGAAACTTCCTTCTTAAGCTGGATTTTGAAAAAGCATATGACAAAGCAGTGTTTTCGAGGCGCAATGCGCACTTCAAGGCGAGAGGCGAAAGGCGATAAAAAGGCAACGCCTAAGTGAAGCAAGGCACACCTTTTATATATATATAATATATATATGAAATGTGCCAAAGTTATAAAAAAATTAAATAAGATTAAACAGTAAATATATCAAATAAAATAAAGAAAAGAGCCCTCCAGAATAAAGGAAGAAATAGATAAAATAAAGAAAAGAGGTAAAAATATTAACTTACATCTTTTAAAACATTAAAACATTTAAAAAATAATTTAATATTTAAATAAAAGTTCACTTAAATTAAGAAAAAAATATAAAAATTTTAAAAGTTTTTATATCGTAAAACGCAATGGCAATAACCCATTTATGCTGCCATATGTTTATTTGTCACCATGCATGGCACTAGCACTAAATGTTCTTGAAAATAATACCATGCATGGCCCTCATTTAATGCTTCTTGAATGCTTCTTGAAAATGTAATTCTGCCTTTTGCTTTTCTCCCTCTTTTCTTATTTTTCTTCTCTTTGCATCTGAATCTTCTTCTTCCTAATTTCGATACTTCTTCTTCCTTTCACTCTTCTACTTTTTATTCTTCTTTCTTCAACTCTTCATTCTTCTTCCATCCTAATGTTTTTCTTTTTAATTTCGACGATCGACGGAGGCAAATAGTTGCCGGAAAAGACAAAGAAGGCGAACAAAAGACAAAGAAGAAGAAGCTGTCAAGGAGAATTTGGATAATTTTTAGGGTTTTTCATTTGAGGTCGGCCTTTTGTGCGCCCGCCTTCAACGAGGCGATCACCTTGTCTCAAGCGAGAGGCGCGCCAAGGCAAGCGCCTGGTTGAAGGCGCTCGCCTGGGCACCTTGCAACGCGCACCTGGGTGACATCGCCTCGCCTCTCGCCTGAGGCGAGCGCCCGGGTGCGCCTCAAAATCACTACGACAAAGTAGATTGAGACTTTTTAGATGTCGCCCTTCATTCCAAAGGTTTTGAGGATAGATGGGGTAAGTGGATTAGGGGATGTCTTTCCTCTACAAACTTTTTGGTCTTGATTAATGGTAAACCTAGGGGAAAAATTAAGGCTAGAAGAGGTTTATGACACGGGGATCCTCTTTCCCCTTTCCTTTTCACGATTGTGGGGAAGCTTTGAGCAGGCTTATTCACTACTGTAACGAAAGGAACATTCTCACAGGCTTTTCACCTTCAATATCCAGATGATGTGTGTGATTATTTTTAGCCCTTTCTCGGTTCAAATAATGCATAAATGGTAGGGTGCAATTCAGGTGTTTTTGTTGGCTTCGGGACTCTCCTTGAATGTGTCCAAAACAGCTGTGATTAGTATAAACTGTTCCTTGATTGAGACTAATTTTTGGGCATCAGCTTTTGGATGCAAAGTGGATTCGCTTCCCTTTTCCTATTTGGGATTCCCTCTCGGTGGAAACCATCGGTCGAATAGTTTTTGGGTGCTAGTAGTGGATAAAATGCATGATAGGCTTCAAAAATGGAAATCCCTCATGCTTTCTAAAGGTGGTAGGCTTACTCTGGCACAATCAGTCCTTAATAGCATCCCAATTTATTATTTCTCGATTCTTAAAGCCTTGAAGGGTGTGATCAAATCGATGGATAAGCTTATGAGGGATTTTATATGGAATGGAGGGGCTCATAGACCGGGTGGGTAACTTGGTGAAATGGTCTTGGTCCGCTTTGCCTCACAAACAAGGGGGTCTCGGGATTGGCTCGTTGACTCTTAGAAACAAAGCGCTGCTCATGAAATGGCTTTGGCGGTTCGCAGTGGAAAAGGAAAGTTTTTGGAGATGGGTGATAGCTTTTATTTATGGGATGGACTCTTATATTTGGTGGACAAATCCTTCAAAAGGCTTCTCTGTTGGAGGACCATGGAGAGATATTTGGGTGACTCTAAAATCCTTCCAAAGTCTTTCTAGGTTTCAGCGGGAGAAACAGTAAGATTTTGGGAGGATCCTTGGATAGATTAGTAACCTTTTTCAACTATCTTACCTGACTTGTACGCTTTGTCTTTTAAAAAAGGAAAGTCTATAGCAGTGTTTTCGAGGCGCACCCAGGCGAGCGCCTCAGGCGAGAGGCGAGGCGATTTCGCCTGGGAGCGCCTTAAATGGTGCCAAGGCGAGCGCCTTCGACTGGGCGCTTGCCTTGGTGCGCCTGGGCGTGCCCTCGCTTATGACGAGGCGAGCCAACGAGGCGTTTCACGCTGCTTTCTTTTTTTTTCTTTTTATGTTGAAAACCCACGAAAAACAACCCTGAAAACCGAATATCCACAGCCAAAAATCAAAATACCCACACCCGAAAGGCTTTTTCCTTCGCTGTGTCCACCACTTTCGTCCTTGTATTATAAGTTTTTCGATTTTTCTCTTTGATTCTTCCTATGTCTGCTTCAATTCTTCTTCAATTATTCAATTCTTCTTCGTCAATTCTTTAATTGAGAAAAGAACCAAACAATAGAAGAATTAAAATTTAAGAAAGAAAAGAACCAAACAATAGAACAGTAGAAGACAAAGAAGAAGACTTGGAGAAAAAGAAGAATCAAGGAAGAAGTTGGAGAGTAATGGAAGAAGAATCAAAGAGAAATTTGAAAAACCTGCAAATTGAAATCATGTCGCTTCAGTTCTTCTCTCCTT